AAGTGTTACCTGTTTGGTATATCGACCGCGTGAAATTGATCGTACTACCACATTGGCGGTTAGGTTTTTTTTTTTTTATCTTGAAATAACTAGATATACTATTTTTTATTATTAAAAATTATTCTAACTTTTTAAAACTTTCTACAATGTCTTCATTCGCTGTCGCTTAAAATCTTCAAAATTCCCTTCTTTTACTGTCCTTTATCCCTAGTAAGATTTTCTCATTCTCTTTGGTTCGCATTCACCTTCTTCCTTTGTGGCATTATGGCTTTGCTTGGGGTGGGGAAATGACTTAATATTTTAGATTAAAAAATGTCATTACTCAATACATTGAATAATTTTATGTGGTCTTTGCAATTTTAATTTGAGATTAAATTTTTAATTGGTGATTAATTATTTTTCGATATCATTATGACGAGTATCATTATCTTTTTTTTAATTACCATCATTCTGTCGGTGCCATTTAGCATTTATCGGATTTTTACTCAAAAAAAAAATTAGATTTCCCAACAATTGTAGCAAGAACGACTTGTTTATTATTAAAAGGGGACCTCTCAGATACCAGCCTCGTGCTCTGTATGAAATGAACTACACCTCCAATTGGCTCCAAGAGCAACGAGCGTGACTATGTTGCTATTTACAGTGCAAACGTTCACAGCAGGACGTCTGCAAGAACAACTTTGTAATCAACTCGCCAAAAATAAAAACACAAACAAAAGAAAACTGTAAGAAAAAACGTAAAATAAAGAATTGAAATTACGTTAAAAAGGTTGGTGAAAAGGTATGTAAGGTTCTTTAGTATAAAATAAATAAAAAAATTCGCAGAATCAATAAAAAAAAATAATTTTACAAAAAAAAAAAAAAAAAAAAAAAAACGCACACACATTTCCTGGTCGTGCGAATGGCTTTAGTCTTCTTTAGCTTTTTGTGAGTCTGTGTGAAACAGTCGGCAAACGAAGTTGAGAAAGATTAATAAGAAAACACAGCGTAAAAAGTTCTGTTTAAATGTGGCAGAAGCGTTATCAATTAATATAAGCACGAACGGGAAAAGGGAAGAATGTGGAAAAACAAAACCTAGTCGACATTCTTTTCATGTGGCATCTTGTTTACTACGAGAAATCACAGGAAAATCGCTGCCTGGTTAATGTTCCAGGCATGACTACAGTCAGCAAGATGGTTCAACTGTAGCAGTATAAATGCCACTTGATAATACAGTGTGACCCGGATAAAAGAGAAACCCGGATACAAGAGATATTTTCTCTGGTCCCAAATTAGAGCCTGTGTTAATGTATATAAATTAGACCAAACCCGGATATAAGAGAAACCCGAATATAAGAGACTTCTTCTCCGGTCCCGACAACTCTCTTATATCCGGGATACATTGTATAATCCCGAAACAGAAAAAAATGTTTAAGTGTCGTGGTAGGATCCACCTAATTTGCATAGTGGAGTACCGACCATATAAATATGGTTGGTACCGGGAAGAGAGGGAGGAATCAAGAGATTCAACTAGAGACTCTGGCCTACTGCGACTCAGTCAACACATTCTCCAGGAACGGTCTTACCAGGAATATACAAAAGACTATATTTAAATATTGTGTACACTTCCTTGTTCAATACATTTTGTTGTAAGTACATTTTTGTGTTGCATTATTATTCCATGCATTAGTCAAGTTTCAACATTAAGTAAATTTGGTTTATTACATACACAATAATTTATGGCGGATTTATTCTATGTGACTTGTTCCTTCAAGACTTGGACGATCGTGGCTCTCCACTGCGTCCAGCCTTTATAGTATTTGCCTTAAATCTGCCCTGTGAGTTTTAAATTTCCCATGCCCTCTGTCCGAATTAAGTGTCCCAAAAATGACAACTGTCAGTTTTCAACTGTCTCTTCTTGATACTGCGTATATGTTACCTTTTGTTCTTATTTTCTCTATAAATTTGTCGTTGCTTACTGTTCGTTTCATGCTTTGCTCAGCATCCTTCTGTAGAACCGTCTCTCTGTTGCTTTCCTTCATTTAGGATGAGGCAGTCCAGCATTCACTAACTTATAAGAATAACAATAATACATATCAATTCAATATTCTTTTCTTTGTTTGCAATGAAAATTTCCCGTTTCTTGATACACTGCTTAAGTTCTGGAAGGTATCTTTCGCTATCACAACGGGCCTTCGGGTGTCTGTGTTGTATTTTCTGTCCTCTGTTAAAACCCTTTCTAGATATTATGCATTTTAATTTTGCTATCTCAAATTCTTAAATCGCATGTTAGATTGTTTCTCTATGCTGAAGACAAATATTACTGTCTTCTTGTAAATGGTGTGTTGACCTTTCTTCCTGCTTTTCTTTACTACATTCGGTCGGAGTTCTTACATTTTTACTTTCTGTATATATGCTATCAACACTGTCATTTGCATAACTAATTTTCTTAAGGTTGTATTAAAACGGACGTCGTGAAAAGGGAGTGAACTCCCTTCTCAAGTTATGCCCCCTGATCGGAACTCTCGAGGACAACTGAAAAGAAAAGATATTTCAAGATGGCCGTCGCATCCTGACATGTCACGTATCGAACGATCAATCTAGCGATAATCTACGGTCATGTTTTAAGTCTACTGTCATCCATTAGTAAAAGTATAACGTTTAGAAATGTATGTTCGTTTTTATTTGACACAAACCCTGCAACAGGTTATGGCCGCCAATAACGAATCCTAGCAGGAGTTCAAACCTAGGTCTCATTACTTTATCGATGAAATGGCTAGATATAGGTGTAGTAGGTAGGTTTGACTATGTCCCATGTCAAATTATTTCCGCTTCTTTTGAACAGAAACAGAGATTTATCACTTCTTTCCCTGTTTAGGATTTCGTTACAGGTTCCTTTACTTAAAGTCTTCTCATTCAATTTCACTCCCAGTAATCCCTTGTGTTTAAGTGTTACCTGTTTGGTATATCGACCGCGTGAAATTGATCGTACTACCAGATTGGCGGTTAGGTCTCACCGTTTTAATTTTGAAATAACTAGATATACTATTTTAATAGCTTCTTCTCTCTCATTTTTAACCTTTGGAACTCTCTACGGATGTCTTCCTTCGCTGCAGCTTAAAATCTTCAAAATTCACTTCTGTTTCCCTGAATCCTCTTCTTTTACTGTCCTTTGTCCCTACTAAGATATTCTCCTCCTCTTTAATTCGCAGTCATTACTTGCGTCTTTGTGGCATTATAGCTTTGCTTGAGGGAAATGATTTTTTTCTCCCTTGTGGAATTCTTTCTGATTCATTGCTTTCTAATCAACTTTGATATAAAAATATTTAAATCCAATACCAATCGTTATCTTTTCCCATTCGAATTTCTTTTCTGTTATTGTTCCCTCTTCTATATATTATTTTTTTCTTTTTCTCATATCTTTAACATATTACTTTACACGGTAACCCTTTGCGCCTCAGTGGCTTTATTCCCTTCCTTGTGGTGAAATGATTATAAAACAAAGAGAGAATGAGGGAAATAGACTATTGTATCTTTTTTCCCGAGACATAACACCCTGTGTAGTAAAAAAAAACCTGAACAATAATTCTTAAGTCTGACAGATAGTCATTAGACGAAACTTGAACTGGAATGGTCGCTATAATATATGATCTAAGCAAGTAATATTCATCACTGAATTTAAGTGCGTTGACACGGAATTAGATATTTTATAGTATGAATTATATCTTCATCATTAGCTTATGGACTTATCACTTTACTTATGAATGTTTATATCAAACTCCGAACTGGAGACGCCAAAGTAACAAAGTATAAAGATTTAACTAATTATGGAAATATTTTAACAGAGATTGGAAGCTGCGACACTGGGTATGATGCCTTCTAAAAGCTAAGCAATGTATTAAGACATAGGAAATTTTCGTTAAAAACAAAGAGAAGCCTTCTGAATGCTGACGTAATTTCAATATGGCACTGAATGTTGGATTACCTCATTTCAGATGAACAAGAGAACTGTGGTAACAGAAATATTGTACTACAGAAAGATGCTGAGAATACCTTGACATAAATATATTAGCAACGATGAAGTTTTATGGCAAATGGAATCAAGAACCCTTACACTTAACATCAGAAAGAAACAACTGAAATTTCTAGGGTGCATAATGGGGAAATTAGGCTTAGAAAATTCGACACTCATATGATATGTTGGAGGCAAAAACGGACAAAGAGGCAAAAAACCTTATCTAACGAACGTGTGTGAATGGTCAGGCTAGGCAAAACTTACTAAATGTTACAAACAACAGGAAGTTGGGGAGAGTCATGATCGTCCACGTCCTAAAGGGACAGTTCACTTACAAGAAGAAGAAGAAGAAGAAGAAGAAGAAGAAGAAGAAGAAGAAGAAGAAAATGCTTATGCCAATGCATAAGTGTAACTTTATACGATTTTTTTCTCTTCCCCGTGTTTTTACTTGTATCAATTTCACATTGGCTAATGTTTCTTTGCCAAACACCTTCCCGCCAATTTGGTCTCAATTATCCTTTCTCTCTGCCTCTTTTTGAAAACAATATGGCGTTCGGTCACGCAATACCGACACTTATTTTAAAGCGGACGACTATCATTACAGGCCTTTATTTGCTTTTCTCAGGCCTCTTTTAACAGCACACACTCCAAATATAGTTCTCAGTTGTACCGCTGTGTGAATTACTCAAGGTGTTTCTTGCCAACTCGTCAGATACCTTATTTGCTCAATTTAGAGAAAACAGTCCCCGCCCACACACATTATTTGAATGTAATTGACACATTCTTTAATGGTAAATGCGATGTTTTATTCAATTATTATTATTATTATTATTATTATTATTACAGTGTCTGACAGTGTTAAACAAGATTTCAGCAGAATGTCTGTCTTCAAAATAGAGTTAAAATATTTTTCAAGTATACAAACATGTAAATCTACAGAAGATCATAAGTCTTTTTACAAACGATGGGTATCGCAGATGATTTAAGCTTATGCGTGTATTTTGGCTTACGGTCAAATCAGGTTGAAGCACCGGTTCTCGTACGATCACCAAAGTTGAGCAACGTAGAACGTCGTTAGTATCTGGATTGGGGATCGCTTTGGAATAGCAGGTGTTTTAAGCTTGTATGTGTGGGTGTTTTGGCGTACGGTCATATCCGGTTGAGACACAGGTTCTCCTACGATCACCAAAGTTGAGCAATGTAGAACGACATTAGTATTTGGATGGGTGATCGCTTTGGAATGACAGGTGTTTTCAGCTGGCATGTGCGAGTATTCTGGCATACTTTCATATCAGGTTGAAACATCAGTTCTTGTACGATCACAGAAGTTGAGCAACGTAGAACCTCGTTAGTAACTAGATGGGTGATCACTTGGAAATAACATGTGTTTTAAGGTTGGATCAGTGCGTGGTATTATTTATGGCCATATCACGTTGAAACAGCGATTCTGGTACGATCAAGTTAAGCAACCTAGAGCCTGGTCAGTATCCAGATCGGTGTCGCTTGTGAAAAAAAATGGTGTTTTAAGCTTGTATGTTCGGGTGCTTTGGCTTACGGTAGTATCAAGTTGAAACACCGATTGTAATACGATTACAGAAGTTAAGCAACATCGAGCCTGGGCAGTACCGAGTTGAGCTACCGCATGAGATTATTAGGTGCACCGAACTTCCATGTGCAGTTGTTGCAATGAATAATTGCACGGAAGTGGAAATTGGAATTGATGTCGAGTTCGTTATATTCATTTGCATTCAAATGCATTTAGAAAGATATGAATCCACTTAATCTGCCCCCAGAAATGGGCTAATTTGTAGTACTTGTATCAGTAAATATATATATATATATATATATATATATATATATATATATATATATTTCCAAAAGTTTCATAGAATCTAAAATATTTGTTCTGGTGTTAAATCACCAAGAAAAGTTTGATAAGCCGTAAAAAAAAGAATCAATCAACAAATTCTTATATACTCAGTAATCTTTTGCGTCTTAGTGGCTTTACTACCTTCATTAGGGTAAATTGTTTAATAAAAGATTTAGAAGGGAGAAAATAAGGCAACGAAGAAATAGACCTTTTTCTTAGATTTTTTTTCCTTTTTACAGTAAGGTTCAATCTGTATAAGCCCCGGGAGCCATTCGTGGTAGAGTGTTACGTTAGGAGGCAGTTTGTACGGATAGGAGAGGAAGGTAACTGTTAACCCTAGAAATGAAAAGATTGATTGTAGTGATCGGGAAAAAATACTCCTAGGAGACGGTTCCACAGAGCAGTGGATCGCGAGTAGAATCTTTTTTAATGGAAATTAGATCCCATCGATTGAATATAGATATTAGATATATAGATCCAGGCTTTAAAAAAAATTGATCCTGAATGTTCAGTATAAGATATAATCTCAACAAGTAACAATCGATACTAAAGTTAAGTGCGTTGACACGGAATGAGATGATTTAATATTATTTTTTAAATCTTCATCATTCGTTAATATAATTTTACTTCCTCATTCTTATATCGAACACGGAACGGATGTCACCACAATAAACAAGTACAGAAATATCTTGCAAAAGGCTGATAAACCGTAAAAAAGGTTGATGAACCGTAAAAAACAAATCAAACCATCTACCGTACATGATCAATTAAACTTTTGTGCAAACCTCTCGATAACATCGCTACACCGACAATTTTCAGGTAGCTAAGAGTTCAGCTTCTCTTTTAATCAGTATTAAAATATAAAAGGACACTTCAAATTATACGCTCATCGAAAAAGAATATGTGGAATTATAATAATCTTTCGGTGTTTGTATATTTACCAATTTATTACCGATTTAATATTTGCGTAATTTAAGTTTCAAACAACCTTAACGCCTTAATGATCTAAGATCTCCATGATTAGCGGGTCAGAGGTGTGTTGAGCCAGCATTATTAGACAACTCTTCTTTGATCGTGACAATTTGGATAACATGGTACCTTTCTGGCACCATTGTGCTGGGAAAAAAACTCGACCGTACTTGGGTTTATGTCTGTATTCTATGAGTCGTTCTATCTATGTTATAACGATGCGTCAACGGAATCAATAAAAGATCACATTTTAGCTGCATTTTTAGATCGCTTGAAGGTTTCTTTAGAATTGTGAATAGCACCAAATAAGAGAAACTGTCGCCAACTGTTATTCTCAAGTGCATTTAACATCCATGATTCCAAACTTACACCAAAGAGAGTTTCACAAGAAGCGCTAGAACAGAAACTCTTAACATAGAACATACGGTTGCATCTAGCAATTTCACCTGTAAAATGATGAGACCTAACTACCAATCTAGTACTGAGATAGAATAGGCGGAATAATGAGAATGTTTCGGTGCTTGTACATTTACCACTTTATTTTTGATTTAATATTTGTGTAATTTAAGTTTCAAATAACCTTAACGCTTTAATGATCTAAGATCTCCATGATTAGCGGGTCAGGGGTGTGTTGTGGCAGTATTATTAGACTACTCTTCTTTGATCATGACAAATTGGATAACACGGCACAGTTCTGGCACCATTGTGCAGGGAAAAACTCGAACGTACTTGGATTTCTGTCCATATCCGCTGCATCTTTGTCACTGCCTTCCAAATCTGCTATAATTGTCCTCATTATTCTCGTTAGTCCCATGACTGGATGTGGTCGTGAGGCCGGTGTATTTCTGAGAATCTAAGCAGTCCTCTGCATTACTTATTTCTTCTTGCCTATTCCTTTGCAATCTATACCTGGGGGAGCCTATCCCTGAACGTGTGGTTTATTTAATTATTTTTTAATCTGTAACTGAAACTTTTTTTTTCTTTTTTGGTTGGTGGGGTATTGTTTTAAAAAACCGCTATGGATAATATTTAAGGAATTTCCGTCTTCTGTTAATTTTTAATAAATCGTTCGTTGAGAAATGACGCGAAAACATCGCTAGGCCAACAATTTTCAGCCAATTGATAGTTCAACGTCTCTTTTGATCAAAAGTGTACTATGGAACGGAACTTGAATTGCACACGGATCGCAAATGAAAATCAGGAATTATGCGAATTATTCCTTGATATTATATTTACCAATTTATTTCCAATTTAATATTTGTGTAATTTAAGTTTCAAACAACCTTAACGCCTTAATCATCTAAGATCTCCATGATTAGCGGGTCAGAGGTGTGTTGAGCCAGCATTATTATACTGCCCTTTTTTGATCGTGACAATTTGGATAACACGGTACAGTTCTGGCACCGATGTGCTGGAAAAAAAAACTCTAACCTACTTGTGTTTCTGTCTGTATTTTATGAGTCGTTCTATCTATGTTATAACAATGCTTCAACGGAATCATTGAAAGATCATATTTTTAGCTGCACGCTTTATGTTAGATCGCTTGAAGCTTTCTTTAAGATTGTGAATAGCACCAAATAATAGAGACTATCACCATCCGCTAGAACAGAAACTCTTACCATAGAACATACGGTTTCATTTAGCAATTTCACCAGTAAAATGATGAGACCTAACTACCAATCCAGTAATTCGCTTAAAATGTATAAAATCAACGGATCAAAACGGGTTGAAACAATTACTAATTGCAAGGGAGGAACTATAGAACCTATAGTCAGATCTAGCAATATCAGCTGTAAAATGCTGAGACCTATCTGCCAATCTATTACTGCATTTAAACTCGTAAAGTGTAGGTATCAAAATGGAAACCTCCTTAGAACAATTACCAATTTCATCAGAAGCAACTATTAGGATAGAACTTAAGGTTTTATCCAGCATTTTCAACTGAAAAATGATGAGGTCTAACTACCAATCTAGTACTGCGTTTAAATTTGAAAAATCAAGTTATCAAAGGAAAAAGCTTATCAGAACAATTAGCGATTGCAAGAGAAGCACCTGATAGCTTATAAAGGTTGTTAGATGTAGCAATCGCAAATGTAAAATGATGAGGCCTAACTACCAATCTAGTATTGCGTTTAAATTGGTAAAACCGAGCAACCAAAAGAGTATGCTCAGCTTAAAAATTAATATTAGCAATTTCAACAATAAAATGATGAGAGCTGGCATTCTAGTGCTGCATTCAAACTCGTAAAATCGAGACACCAAAGGAGATAGCCATATTTATTTTTGTTTAAATGCAAGAGAAGTAGCACAATAGCAAAGGGGATGGAAGGAGAAGGCTGTTTTTAAGACCTTCCCTTCTTTAACTTAGCAAATCACTGACCGAAACAAATTATACTATTCTTCACACTAAAACAGTATATTCTTACTTATTCTTACTACAGTCATCGCAATACCAGTATGTCTCTATGAAGTCCTGACTAGTCCCCAAATGTACAATCTGTCTATGGTGTGGGATAAAAACAATAATTTAAAAAAAAAACAATCTAAATGCATATTTACAATGAAAATATCTTATATACAAAACTAAACAAAAAGGGAAACTTCCTCAGAACAATATATATATATATATATATATATATATATATATATATATATATATATATATCTATATATATATATACAGAGAGAGAGAAAGACATTTTTATAGTTTAAATTAATAGGAATAAACGCACATTTATACGTCCAGCAGTTGGAACCTGTCCACAAATATTTGGTGGAAAGTGTCTTTCGTTCTTGAACAGGAAACGATTTCTTCTCCTCTATGAGAGCACCAGGAAGTACGCAACAAAATTAATAGAGGGCATAAAACTCAAGCCTGCTTCGTCTATTTTACCTCACCCGCCATAATCACTTGGCCAGTGTTTCTCAACATTTTTAAGAAACAGCACACCTTGGAGCAAATGAAAATATCATGGCTGCTTAGCAAAATTTTAAAGGGTATACATTTAAATGAAATAAAAGAGCAGATTATTTTTAAAAATGCTCACACGAAATTTGAACTTAAGTTCATGTTTCTATTCTACTATTTGTGCGGCTTATTTAGTGTGAAACCTGTGCCTTGTTTTTTTTGTTTGTTTGTTTTTTTTTAGCGAGTTCGTCAGTATTTGGTCGAATGTGCAATAAGCAGACCCTCATTTCTTCTTCAGCTGAGCGTAGACTTTCTCGTTTTTTGGAATAAGAATAGTGAAAAGAATTATTTGAAAAAAAGTTTAATAC